ATCTAATCTCTGTTAATATAATATTTTAATTTAACATAATACATCTTTAGTTGCTAAATAGTTTTGGTGAAAAAATCCTATTATATATGAACAGGCCTTGACGATGACTTACCGCCAGAAGTGAAGATCGAGTCCCTCGCAATTGCAGTTCCGACATGGTGAACCTTGGCCGATTTCGTGCGCAAGAACGTGCTAAAGTAGTTAAATTTTGAAAAAGATGCATTTTCAGAAGAGTTAAAATGCCGTGCTAAACAGTCACTGAGCAAGCATATGCCGAAGCATGATGACCAGTAAATTATTCTAGAAATTCGAGACTAGAAGTTTTTTTGTCCAATTCAACACATTTTTTTTAAATGACAGGAAGTCACTATTTAATGCTGTCAAGAGCAATCTCTTAAGTAAAAGAAGGAAAAATCTTGTTGAGCTGCAATTTCGCAAAAATGTTGAAGGATGTGATCAAAATGCAAAAGTATTAGTCCAAGCTTTACTTACTACCCATACTCATTATTTCTATGTTGCCCTAATTAAGCTACTGAGAAGTTCTATTAAAAGTCTGTCTCACTTACTTGCTTACCCTGCCCTAGCTTATGAATTTCTGGATTTGTCGGAAAGCATGGGGCGGTGACAACGTCCGGTGAGCGGACGTCACTGCTCATTTACCCTGGAATATGCATTTCATCAGAGTTTTTAGTTGTTAGAATATTCAATGCCTTACGCATATGCGAAAAAAAACAATTTATTGAGCATATTGGAAAACTCCAAGAAATTAAATGTGAACACAATCCTTATTTATGATTAATACAGCTTACTAAGTGTATAAAAATGGATGTACTGAGAATTTTTTAAAATAAAAACTCGATTTAACTCTTCTCACTGAATTGTATGAGCGATACATGTAGAAGTGTCTGTCAACTTTGCAAACTCTCATGTTCCAACTCTATCTATTAATGTAACAACTGGATTAAAATATTTGTAACAAATTTCGGGTTCATGAGATAAATATGTGCATCTCACAATTCCTTTCCCAACCGAAATCCCAGTTCTTGCAACCGGTGAGTTAAGAGGAAAACTTTCCTTTAGTCTCAAACGTTATCCAACTTAGAAAGCCCTGGACTTAGAAAAACAGTGAGACAAGACACAGAAAAAGGAAAGCAGGGTGGCGTGATTTATTTCTTAAGAATGCTTCGATTATTGAAGGAGAACTGCACTTAATGTTACGTTGCTGTTAGTAGTGTGAAACAAGAGAAGCGGTAACTGTGTTCATTCATATTTAAGGAAACAATAAATAACAGCTTGTGAATCGTTGTACACTGTGAATATAAAAGGCAGGTAAAGACTTTTTGGTGGGTTAAGCCCAGCTAACCATAGCGATGTTGTACGAAATTACGGTAGGTGTGGCCACCTATGACAATAAATCTTCAAATTCTAACGACACTACAACGGAAAAGAGCTCAAGATAAGTAAACGGATGGGAAGAAAT